TACTGTACATAGCACAGACTCTTGCACTTTCTGCTTATTTGCACTTCTGGTGAGATGCCAAACCTCATTTCGTTACTCTATACTTGTATATGTGTAATGACAATAAAGTTGAATCTCATCTCATCTCAGATGTGAAAGTGGAAGAAATTTGAACAAAATAGATCTGAAAACCAGAAACATTGGGTGAAAGAACACATCCATTTTTAAAGGCGTATGATCCTTAAATGTTGTAAAAGTGTGTTTTAAGTTTTTTTGTTTTAACTGATCATTAATTTGTAGCCACCATTGATAATCTATCAGGTTATTGATTGTAACATTGGGATTATGGACTTTTAGCATCAGGGGAGATCTCTTAGCAAAAACAGTTCACTGCTGTGAAAAAAAGCAATTAATGTTTGAAGCTGAAATCTCCCTTTTCTACTGTAAAACCAGCAGGGTGTCCAAATTTACATCTGAGTCTGTACGATGACGTTTTCCAATGCCCACTCAGGTGTGAAGCTTGTTGGTTTTGAGGCGAGGCTTCAAAAAGGGTCAACACAGAGCAGCACAACTTAAAATAGCATGCCAACCCTTTTTCTACAGAATGGTGCAAAGGTAGAATAAATCTATGCAAGTTTAGGAGGGTCTCTACCGAAGAAGAAAGTCACACAAACTGGTGTGTAGTGCAATAATAATATGTTCCAATATGCATGTTAAGGACAAGCTTGATGATAAGAGAGGGACAAAATACATCAAAAACAGACCCGTGTTTTGACTGGACTCACAACAGTATCAACCATCATCCTTAAGGCCTACCAGTAACTAAACCAGACATCTTATAAGGAAACTCAGGAGGCTGTTTATAACCGAAGCAGCTAAGAATATTTATTTTACTATCTTACAGAGTGAGTAAAAGATACTATGAAAGATGTTAAGCATGCTCGCTGTGCGTTTGCAGGAGCATTAAAACCCAAACACAGATGTCTGTGTGTGTGTGTGTGTGTGTGTGACCATGCTACCCACAAGCTAACATCATCACAAGTGGAACTTTTTGTGCAGGGCTGCTGTAACTAACGTGACTCTGCCTGTGGCGTTTAGTTTAGATTGCTAGTAAGCGGGAAAAACATGATATAGCTGTTTCTGCTGCAACATTACGAGTGCTTGCATGTGAAGCTGGCCAGGTGAGATGGACAAGTCCAGCTAGCTAAAGGGCCCCGCTGCTCTGTCTTGCAGGGTTAGCTTCAGTGTATCACAGCACCCATGACCAGCATCCCCCCCCCCAACACAAAACTCGGTGTCTTAAGGGGTCTCTCTTACCTCGTGGTTGAAGGCGTTAACGGCGTCCATGATTGCCCAACGCTGCGGGCCGTACCCCGAAAACCTCCCGATTTTCCCCACGCTTATAGCGACGTTAAGTCAAGGAAAGGTGTCGGTTCAACATGTCCGCTCTCCAGGTTGCTAGCCGACAGATAGCTTAGCATAGTTAGCATTCGGGTCGGCGGGGCACGGCAAAGCATGATGGGATTCAGTGTTGTTGTTGCAGGTCTTGTCCACTGGATGGCGGCGTGCTGTTTAAAACCCAACCATGTGCAGAGAGTGTAGAACTGAGAAAAAAATGACTTTAAAGTATTTTTTGTTGTCCAGCCAAATGAGTTGCAGGCAGAATATTAGAAATGTGGAAATTCTTTGTCTTTTTAATCATCATCATCATCATCAACAACTTTTATTATTAGACTCAAGGTCCATTTTAAAAGACATACAATACAAAAAAATAGACAACACACATATACATTAGAATAAAAACATTCCCGCCTCTTATAAAAGGCACTTATACCAATGTCTCCAAAGGTATGAATGGTATTTTTTATTATTATTATTATTATTATTATTATTTATTTATTTATTTTCACATTATATTCTATTTTACTGTATATATGTGTATTAGTAATTTGAGTGTTATTGCATGGCCTTGCGGAACAGTCCTTACATTTCACAGCACATCTGTATGAGCATTTTTTATTTTTTTATTTTTTTATTTTATTTTATTTTTTTATTCTTTTTTATTTTTCACATTATATTCTGTTTTACTGTATATATGTGTATTAGTAATTTGAGTGTTATTGCACGGCCTTGCGGAACAGTCCTTACATTTCACAGCACATCTGTATGAGCATGTGACAAATAAAAATCTTGAATCTTGAATCTTGAATCTGGTAGCGTACTGCACTATAACTTGGGTTCGACAAGCAGCATTATAATTACATTCTTTGAGTCATTCAAGCGACCGATAAATCTGTACATAAGGTTCCTCAGTAGAGCTTGTAAGGTGTTAACTCCTGCATTCACAAATAGCTCACTTGCACTACTCCACCTTGGCTTTTTAATTAAGATCCTAAAACAATCATTATCAGTAAGCAACCTGAAGTCTGTGCATACTTGATTTTTTTTTAATGAGGTTATTAATGTTCATAAAAAATCTTTAGCTCAAACATGACCTTTGACCCTGTTTGGAAGTTGAGGTACTCTGCCTTTGCATTGCCTGTACAATAATAACGGGGTCATGCCAAGGACAAAAGGCATTAACTTCCATTTGATACTGTATTTCACTTGGTTGCTTTGTTAAAATAACACAACCAACACTATTTCTTTGCTACACTTTAGTCAAGCTACTGTGTGTGTGTCAGAAGTGCTTGATGACTGATATTAAAACAAAGGCATAACACCTTAACTCCACTGCAGTGAAACGGTAACTTCACTTTGATCCACAGTAAAACAAAGGCAGAAGACCTTAACTCAGTTTGAATATTCCTGAATGCTGCAGTACAAAGACCCTGATGAGTGAAGTTAAAGCACTCTGCCTTTGTGTCTTGAGGGCTTTTGGAAGTTAAGGCAAATACAACCTACTATTTTCTCAAAACAAACAACACATTTGACTCAAGATATCTGTCCACATAATAAAGCACATCTGTAATATTCCCAAAATGACAAAAACTAATTTTTGAAAAAACTGAAGTTACTGCCTTTTGCCTTTGTAGGGCAGTATGGTCTTGTGGTTCCTCTGATTCCAGGTGCAGGTTCAACTGCTTCAGGGGGTTCTCAACTATCTGCCAGCTAAAATGCAATACTAATACAACTGCTGCTGCCAAGTTACTACATTACCCAACATTAGACCATGAAAACAAACTAAGAATCCAAATCAATGTTGTTTTTTCAAGTATGTTGACACAAAAAATGAATTAAACTACATTACTCTCATGAACAAATTGACACAGGCTTCTAGTTAAAAACTGAATTCACAAAAGTGAAGGAAAGTTAATTTAAACATTACAATTATGCCTGACAAAGATTTTTGTTGAAAACATGCACAGTGGATTGTTTTGTACTTAACCTGCACAATGATTTGGTTTTAACCCAACTGTTCCTGAGTTCATGGTGCTCCAGCTGCAAGATCTCTAGTAAACAACTTTAACAATAAGCAGATAAATTGTTCCTCCATGGAGGTCTTGGCCTATATTACTTTGTAAGGCCAATAAAAAGTAACATAGGCTACATTCCTCTTGTCAGTATATTAAGATATTTTTAGTATAAATGCTGAAAATAAAACTTATAAATAAAAAATTGTATTTTAGGCTTTATCTCCATGGGGATGTTTCTTTGGCACGGCTTTCACAAAAACATTTATGAAACAACTTCAATTCAGACAAAGTAATTTAACAATTTCAATTGTTGCAGGAAGAGGTTGTTGTTTATTATCAAGCTCTGAATCCTGCATGTTGAACTGTAAGATCACTCATTTCTTAAGGCGATGACACTGTATTTTCTTGTAATACAAAAAAACTCCAATAGATGGTGGTCTTCATACACTTTTGGTACAATGTCTGTGCGTCTGGTTTAGTGTCTAGAAAGCATGGTCCAGTGGGCAAGCCAAGCTGTATTTGTGGATGTCTTTTCCACCCTTCTAGGAATCCATACAAAGAGGGAACAAACACCACACACCTGTATAATAATAATAATAATAATAATAATAATAATAATAATAATTCAATCTAACACAGTAACTTAAATACATACTGTCTCATAAAACACTGCAGATTTGAATCAACACCCTCCGATGCATTTTAAAATTGTAACATATGTATTGTTTATTTCAGGGCTGTTCTGTTGAAAGTCATGTTAACAGGTGATTTTTATGTTGCCCAATAGGAAATTAAAACATATAATATAATCATATCAGGTCAGACTAACCTGACCTGAGGCCAAACACAGGAAGATAGATTTGTCTCCATCTGTTGCCCCTCCCTATAGGTGTCCTCCTTTGAGTGATGAACACCATATTAATTAGGCCAGTGAACACCTCAATGAATGGGGAGGGGGGCATTGCTCTTTTGTTTGCCCCTGGTGTACTGGAGTACAACTTTCCTCTGTTGGCAGAACTCCAAGTTCAGCAACAATATGACAAAATAAAAAAATAAAACATGGCAATAGTTTCATGGTAATGCTTGTTAAATGGTACTGTCAATTCATCTCACAGAGAGGCTTTATTGTGGATATTTATTACCACTATAGAAATGTACACCTACTGCGTCTATGCTACCAGTGTAACAGGCGGTGTGGTTCCGCGTGGTGCACATGTGGTGGGAGTATTTTGGGGTCTTTAACGCACCAGCAAACCTGACAATCATATAACAGCGTAGACAAACAGAAACAATATTACAGGAACAAATGATGTCGATTTTGTGAATATGTACATTGACACTGTTGCTGTCTCTCTCTTCAGGCTGTAAATGTATTCTTTGTTCATGGCTGTGTACAATGTGAGCGCAGTCAGCGCACCATGCGAAGCAGTGGTACCGGGTGGGGTTGTGTCCCCCCCCCCTTGTTCTCTCACATGCGCTCCGCCCGCCGGCTCTGATTGGATTGAAAATTACCCCCGCTACATCCGAAGGACTGCGTGTGAGAATGTTTTTTTTTTTTTTTTTCCTCCCATCCTCACTGTAAGAAACGCCCCCCCGCCTCAGATGGCCGGCAAAGTCAGTTCAAACTGCAAAACACGCTGCCTGCGTTCAGACAAACCAGGAGACGTTCATGTGTGGAGAAGAAGGGACGCTTGCCTCACAGCTTACCTCTGACTGAGCCAGCGCTTTTTTCACAAGACAACTCTTTAAGACAGGTTGCGTCAGGTGCTCACTTCCAATGATTGAGTGTGTCATATTTTCTGTGTCATTTAAGTCTAAGCTGGAACACTTATCAAGACTTTGTCTCGGAACCTGCTGAGTGCGCTCCCTGGATGCTTTGGGTGAACAGGTGGTGCGCGCTCCGGTTCCCTTAATTTGCTATTAGGGGCGAGACTCAGGCAGAGCGGAGTTGACGCACTGTACCGGACTTTAAGCATTTAATACCTGGCTCTAAGCTGGGCGAGGGGGACGAGCTGTGTAAGGTTCCCTCCCTTGTTAAAAGGGAAACAAAATTGCCAAGGGGAGCTGTGATGCCAGTAGCAGACAGCGACATGGTAGTTGACAACAGCCACGCGTTGTACGAGGGGAAAACCCCGAATAACAACGCCGTGAATGACAACATCACCTCGGCCTCCCTGAGCAGTCCCGCCGCGGACATTCTCAAGAACTTTTACCACACCAAGCGGGTCGGGAACTATCTGATCGGACGGAAGCTGGGAGAAGGATCGTTCGCCAAAGTTAGAGAAGGTCTCCACGCTATGACTGGGGAAAAGGTAAGAAATGCAACAATTTATCAACTTGTGTTTTTACGCATGAATACTACTTTTTTTCTTCTTTTTTTTTCAGGCTGTCACTCGGCATTATTAAAATGCATTTTGTGATCAGACATTTTAATTCAGTGGGCTAGCCTAACTATGATGGCTTACACTTGTAATTTTTCAAATCAACACTCGCAAAAACTGAATTTTTCCATCTTTTTTTTTTTTTTTTTTTCTGATTGTGATATCAGAAATATTAATGGCATGCATCAAGGTGTCTGAGATCATTTTTAAAATGTCATTTTAATGGGTAATGTCAGCTGTCACTATAGCTTCATTGTTCCACGTGCAACGAGAAAAACACCCAGCCCTTATTAGTGTAGACAGTTTAGTTATAGGCTATTTTATACTTTGCATCTAATCAGCTCTTAGCTCTCCCTGAGAAAGTGATCAGCCTTGTTTGCATTTAGAGGCTTTGCTAATGAGCTCATGCGGCACCAGCTGTTGAACCATGCTTTACGCGCAGCAGGAATTGTTTTCTAGCCAACCTCTAGTGACAATATTTACTCTTTGTATGTGTGGGTAAGATAGATAGAAAGCTTCCTGTATTTTTTTTCTTCCAGCATGTGTTGTTGGGCTATTGGGTATGCTTTGCTGAACCGCTGCTTTGTTTGCTGCTGCTGCTGCTGCTGCTGGGGGGGTGATCTCATTGCTCTGGGCGCGCAAGCCTGTGATAGGGACCGGGAAGAAAATTGCCCGGCCTATGAGAGAGCTTAGCTGCTACTTGCATATGAAATCGTGTCGTTGATAAATGGGCTCTAGTCTCATTAGAATTCTGCCAGTGCAGGGCTTTGAAATGGGCTTCCATTGGCCACTGGTTGCCTTTGTCTCTTCAGGCTTCTGGAGGAGCAGGCAGGCAATTTGCATTTATTCTTAAACATGTACCCCCCCCCCCTTTTTTTTTTCTGTATGTATTTCCTACACATGGGCCTCGATTTGTTATGTACAAGATAAGATGTGCCACTCAAAATGAATGATTAGCATATTATAGCATATTTTACACTAGCTTGCCTTGTAGCCCCCTCACATTCTTTGAGCAGGGTAGAAAAAAGCTCATCTCCCCTTGCCTCACTGTCTTTGTTGAGGATGATGCAAACACTGGCAATCACACAACCGCATCACATGCTCTCTTGCTCTCTAGACACTCTCTCTCTCTCTCATTCAGTGTAACACAGGGTCCAACAGGCGTTGTAAGGGCGGGGGCGGGGGCTTAAATAATTTGCTTTATTCAAGCAAAAGGGTAGTCAGGGGGGAAGGAGATCCTTTTTTAGCATCATTAGAAAGTCATAGTGGATACTTGAGTGTGTGTGTGTGTGGGTAGTGGCAGGGGGCTTGAAAGTGAGGAGAGGTGAGGTGGTGCTGTCATGGTCAAAGGGGGGGGGGGGGTGGCTACTGAGGTCATATGCATGTGTTTTTGATGTCTGTAACCCACTTTCCCCTCTATTCTTCCCCCCCCACCTCCGCCCTTTTCTGTCTGAGGGGCGCATGATAAACAACTCAATCCCCCCAGAATCCCCCCTGGCTGGGCACACCCCTCCCCCTCATATACCCTCAACCCACCCCCACCCTACTCATATAGACTAGCCTACTGTAAATACAGTGCCCCATCCCCCCATACATACCCCACACCCCATTTCTTATCCTTACTGCCTGGCGTAAACAGGGGACGCCTATAACTGTACTGTGGCACACACACACACACACACACAAACAGGTTTAATTGGCAGCTGTAAAAAAGGCTTTTAGAGGTGAATCAATTATCAGAGATGAAAGGACAAAAGTAAAATAGAAAGACGAGCTGAAGGACAGAAGAAAGAACACACACATAAACACGCGACCACTGTGGCCCCTTACCATTTCATTAATGGATATGGTTATTAGTTTCTCCGGCCGTGCCTTTCCATGTCTGCGGGCTCTCCTTGAGATGATTTGCTGTGAATGGTAGCCATGCTCTTGAACTCCGTCTAGACCGAGATACAAGGAGACTGGCAAAGGATGAAATAGAATTTATGGGGGACGTTATTGAATGTAATTAGCTACAAAGTGTTTGTCACAGAGGTAAAGGACATGTTGAGTCTTTTATGAGCAGCCTGTGCAGGTTTTTTTTATCTCCGTTTAGACAAGGACAGAGAGGAGCATGCAGCAGATGAATTAAACACCGAAAAAAGTTCAGACAAGCAATCTGCTCTCCTAACTCTGTTGAATCTTCAGGTTCTTATTCATCCTCCCACATTCTCTCTCCTACATTTGTCACCCCTCCACATGTGTGTTCAGCTGCAACTACACTATGTGGCAAATGGAGGGAATACTTTGAGTCCATTTGGCCATCCATGGCGCCTTCTTAACAGCTAGGGTAACATTTGCTTTTCCTCCTAGTTTATGATGGTTCATTAACCCCTCAAACACACACACACACACACACACACACACACACACACACACACACACACACGTCCCCTCCTCCAGCCTTAGGGCCCTATAGCGCCTGGGTTGCCCCACATTATGGAGCAGCTGTGAGGAAGAGGGTAGTGTCGAGTTATACACCCTCGATGGAAACTGAGAAGCTCATCACCTGTTACACTACAACTCTCTGAAAAACTTCCTCCGAAACACGGCAGTGCATGGGAATTTTTTTCAAAATCTAGCTTATCCTTATCAATGCTTTGTTAAATTTCCCCAGGTGGCCGTGAAGGTGATTGACAAGCGGAAGGCCAAAAAGGACTCATATGTGACCAAGAACCTGCGCAGGGAGGGCCACATCCAGCAGATGATCCGCCACCCCAACATCACCCAGCTGCTGGACATCCTGGAGACGGAGAACAGCTACTACCTGGTGATGGAGCTGTGTCCTGGTGGGAACCTCATGAACTGCATCTACGACAAGAAACGCCTGGACGAGAGGGAGACCCAGAAATACATACGGCAGTTGGTGCTGGCCGTTGAGCACCTGCACAGAGCCGGCGTTGTGCACAGGTAAAAACAAGAACACTCAAGATTAAGACAGGCACACGCACAAAACATATTGAAAGTTTCTAACTTTGCTTGTTTTTTTTTCGGGTTAGAGCGGCTGACTTTAAGATTTTAGAGTCAGTTATGATCCTCTTTCTCAAAGTGCTTGTTGTATACATTACTGCAAATCCACAAAAATCAAAACGCCTGTCTGCTGTCACTAACCACACTGTCATGATTTAAACAATTTCCAATGCATCCGTGAAGAATATCTTAAAAAATAAATAAGATTAAAAAAAAGATTTATGAATAAGTTCTATTTCTATGCCCTCTGCACATTTATGAGCCATCCCAGGGCATTTCTCGTACAAATAGTGTTACATAGTATGTTTGAAGTGATGTAAGAAAATCCCATAAACTGCATCTCTAAATCGGATTTCACAAAGCACTTTATTCATTTCTTTGTGACTCAGAGCCTGGGAACTAAGTTTCCATCATGGTGAGATGGCCTGTGAAGATAACTGTATAACAGGATTTCTAAGGCCAAGCAGGGATCTGGAGGCACACAAAAGAGCTTGAAAATCAGCCAGTGTGACCCACATTGGGAGGGGTGAATGTGTAGGGGCTTGCAGTCAGTGGGGGGGGGTGACCTCTCATTGCATTGTATGAAGATCGAGGCTTAGTTAAGTTATCTAATGTAAATACTAACGCTGTGCAGGCACTGACCCTTCACTTTTTTCCCCCTTTTGTCTCAGGGATCTGAAGATAGAAAACCTCCTGTTGGATGAGCAGGACAACATCAAGCTCATAGGTAACTCAAGAACTCTTCCATTTGACATTCTTTCATTCGTTTGAATTAACTTTTAAAAAAATCTACACGTCCCTCAGCAAAAAACAAGATTAGCAGTTAATAATTAAAACATTATTTTTATTCCAGTATTACTTTAAGTAGAAATAAAAAGATTTTCTCAGCTGGAGTTGGACATGCAGTGTCCCACATGTGGTGAGGGGTTAAGAGCAATTAAATATCCTGTTAAAACCTTTACGAGCTCTCACCATAGTGCTAATCTGCTTCTGTTTGTGTGTGTAACGCTTTGACAAGTCGACTAATTAAACGCGTAGGCTGAAAAGGCAACAATAAACAACATAGAAACAACACTCACCCCACTGCTCCTGCCTTTCAGATTTTGGCCTCAGTAACTGCGCCGGCATCTTGGGATACTCAGACCCATTCAGCACCCAGTGTGGAAGTCCCGCCTATGCGGCTCCAGAGCTGCTCTCCAGGAAAAAGTACGGGCCAAAGGTGGATGTCTGGTCCATGTGAGTATATTGTCCTTCTTTGGGGGGTAGTACATTTTTAGAAATACAGATATATAAATGTATTGATTTTATGAGCTGGCACTAAAGTGCATGTTTTAATCTTCCAGTGGTGTGAACATGTACGCGATGTTGACCGGAACTCTCCCGTTCACCGTGGAGCCCTTCAGTCTCCGAGCTCTGCACCAGAAAATGGTGGACAAGGAGATGAACCCTCTACCTCCCTCTCTCTCCACAGGTAAATACACAAAGCACAACTTGCACACCTCTGTGCAGGTGAATCAAATATTCCTTTGTGGAGAAGAAAAAAAATCTATGAACTTGCTAACCTGGGCATAGCACACTACCGTGCCAACTTTAATACTTGCACAACAGTCTAAGTTTCCCTTAGGGTACAAACGATATATTTTTGAAGAGTTTATGTACATTTGGAACGCAACCAAGATGAAATTAGGGTTATGATGACATGTTACTGAATGCAAAGCTTGACAACTGTTATAATGCAATGACAAGCTTTTTTGTCTGCCAAGACAGAGGCTAAAGTTAAATTCAAATCTATAGATTAAAAGATATCCATGCTGAAAAGGATTATACAAAATAAAACCGGTTATGTTGAGAAAGAGGTTAAAGCTAACAAGCGTTATTGAAGCAAGACAAGATATCACTTGTTTTCTGGGGTTCCAGAATTTTATAAGAAGCTCTTTAATACTGACATTTAAAATCCTCTCATTAAAAACTCTTCATACGACATCCTATCCACCTAGGAAGCAAACTTTTAAAATTTAAGTTTAAATGTTTTTTGTTTTTTTTGTTTTTTTATACAAAGAAATGATCAGTCCTACGATTCTAACAAAGTAATAACTCTTTGTTGAGAAGCATTTTAAAGATCAGCCTGGTGGCTTCAGGAAAATAACATACAGTACAACCACCGCACTTACCTTAAACAACAAAATATACAGAAATGGTTTTATTTCAAGGATTTGATGGTTTAAGGATTTAAAAAAAAAAAAAAAAAATTGAAAGATTATTTTTTGGGGCTTTTTGTGCCTTTAAATGAGAGATATGACAGTGGATAGAGTCGGAAATCAGGGAGAGAGAGTGGGGAATGACATGCGAGAAAGACTATAGCCTCCATACATGGGGCGCACGCACTAACCACTGCGCCACCAGCCCCTGGTTTAAGGAGTTAAAGATTTTTACTCAACATAAGAGTTCAAAATGCATACAGGAAATAATTGGCAGAGTACTGTATGATGTAACAATTTTACCAACGAAACTGCCAGCTTGTTTGTTCATAATTGCGTGTAGGTTTTACGTAACGTTTCCAGTGAAGTCGCTGGCACGACACCAAAAGATTCTTTGTTGACAGAATTTCTCATGAAGTCTGTGGTGTGGTTGATAATTGACAATAGTAGAGGAAGCTGAAATTAGAGTTTGACATTGTATAGACCAAGAGGAGTCAGTGTTGTGAGAATGATACATTGTGGGTCTGAAGTCAAGGCTGAATAAAGGACTCATGTACTTTACACAGTTCTCCCAGCTTTATGTTCTCTTCGTTTAAAAAAACGACAGTTATTCCTGGTAATTCTGAAGAAATTACCATTTTCTCTGTCATTGTATATAAATCATTATCATATTCGATGACATCATCATTGTTATATATAAATTATGATAATATATTTTTTATCTATTTATTGCAAGACAGACAAAAGACAAAAAAGAGAGACTGAACAGGAGCAGAACACAAGAGAAACAAGTGAATCAGTGAATCAGTGAGCATTGAGTATCAGCCAAATTCAACATGTCAGGGTAGCTTGGTGTGTGTCAACATGTTTTGATTTAGATTTATAAATAAGACAAGTATATCAGTCCCATAGTGATTTGAACTACAGTGCTAGGGCAATAGTTATAAGACACAGCGTGAGGAAACAAGTCGGGGGAAAAATAGCACAGGTGCGTATGCACTTCACCAGAACTGGTGACGCTCATACCTTACGCTTCTCCTGAGCGTGTTGCTGTCATGCTCACTTAACTCAGTTATGTAAGCAACTGCTAATCTAGTTATCAACAAAAATCTGTCATCTCATCTGTGTTAGGTAATATAAAAAAGAAGCTCATAATTTGGGGTAGGGCCAAGTTTGTGGTCAGTGGGTACATGAACCGACAAAGGCGATTGTGTAATTCCTACATCTGCTCCAACTTCTCTTTCAAAAAATAAAAACGGTTGAGTGGTGTGTGAGGTAGCCGTGTAATCAGGCAATCATTTATGTTGGGTCACACAACTGTCAAACAAAAATAGCAGACGCTAGATAATTATATGTATCAGTGCTTGGCAACTATTTTCTTTATCTAACAAATAAATACTGGCAACGTATGAATATGTACTCTCCCTCCCTCTGTCTCAGCTGCCATCTGTCTACTGAAGAAGCTTCTCGAGCCGGATCCAAACAAGCGTCCCAATATCCACCAGGTTATGGCAGATTCCTGGCTACAGCTTGCCAACAAGAACACAGGAGCACCGTACCTCAACAGGTAGACTCTAAAAGTTGATTGTATTATACAGGAGTAGGTCGTCTAATTTAGCTAAATTTGACTGTCAACAAAAAAAAAAAACATTTTGACATTACATTCAAAACATTACGATGAACAATGTTCTCTTTCTGTTAAGGATCCACATTGAGGAAATAAACCACACTGTGTTGCTGCATATGACGGAGAAGATGGGCTACAAGCACAGCGAGGTGCTGAGCGCCGTCCTAACCAACCGCGCCTGTCACACTCTGGCTGTCTACTTTCTCCTCAACAAGAAAATGAAGAGACTCTCCAAAGAGTACAGGGTATGTTGATCGTAGCTAACATTCACGATAAGAGAGCGTAAAGGACACAATCTGAACACTAACACAAAGTTAATCTGGAAGTCCAGAGTATTCTTTAATGACACCTCGATTCATTTTGTGTTCCAAGGAAGTTTACAAGAGATAATAGTAATAATAATAAGATGATAATTCTGGTTATACATTAACAGCTGTTGTAAAACGCTGAGGCCTGCTGTAATGGGCTGTTTTGCTTTTGTGTTAAGGAGATGCAGTTCCAGGAGAAAAAGAAAGGAGAAAAGCAGAAGAGCGAATACTTCCAGACGCAGTGGAGGAAGCACGTCGACAAGCTCACCATTCCCCCCAAGCAGACACCCGTCTACCTGGCAGTCAGCAAGGGGCCGAGCAAGGAGAAGAAGCACCGAACAGGTGAGGAGTAATTTAGTGACGGGCAATAAAAAGATGCAGTGCATTTTGTTCCAAACATCCCCACTCATTTTATGTATTTTATTTACTTTTGTCCATACAGGGTAGGTTGACTGAGCATGCATGTTCTTGCACGGCGTCCAGCCTGTTTCACACTAATGTACTGTAGTTATCCAGTCATCCATCCGACCATCCATCCATCCGTCCATCCAACCATCCATCCAACCCCACCTTCCATCTGTCCAATGTTTGTCTGTCCACCCACCCTTCCATCTGAGAGGAAACACCTTGGACAAGTTGCAAATCATTTGTTGGGCAATTTTAATTTCAACTTGCATATTAGAAATCGGATGAAATTATGCAGAAATTAGAAGTTAGTATTAAACATTTTTGGTAGGAACTCAGCAGTATTTATTATTAAATTGAGTTCTTTCAAACTATGCCCGAGTGACAGGGAGCTGGATTCTGACAGATCACACCCAATGCAGAAGAGCTCACAAGGGGACAAACAGGGACACGGGCAAATCTAAGGTCACAGCCCCTTCCTCTCTCCTTAGTTACCCATAGCCTGTTTCAGATGCAGCATGTTGGGACAGGCCGGTCTTCATGACTTTAAAAAGTAGAACAGAATGTTCTTATAGCTTTACACTTTCTTGTTACATGCTCTCACGATTATTATGTCTGTGGGGAGTTATGTTAACACTGACATGACATAAAGAATCTGTACATGAAGGCAGGTACTTAGCCAAACTTGTTCTGGAGCGTCTTAACCTTTCATTCAGTTGTGTCTGGAACCAGTTGAGCAAAAAAAAACTGACAACTTTGACAGACATAAAAGTGAAGAATTTTAGAAATGCTAATCAACTTCTTGTTTCCCCCTCAGGTCTACTGCGAGCTATTACTGGAGGCCATCGTAATTCCCCTCTTGCACCACCTGGCACTGTCGCATCCTCCTCGATGGAATATCTCGAGATCCATCCGCTCTTTCCAAACACCCCTCAGCAGCGGAGACGCTTGGCCACCCTCCCACAAGTCAACACAAGCCCAGAACACAACATACCTGCTCCACCGGCACCATCGCCGATTGGCATGCACTCCTTCGGCTCCCTCTCCAAAGCGGAGAAAATCGAAGACACCCCCGCTTCACCCTGGTACAAGCTAACCAACGGTACTCTCTCCCCACCCCGTCACGTTTCTGCCTTCCAGCCTGACTCCTCTTACCTGAAGAAGGCCACGATCCCTAGTCCTCCTGTCCTCATCGTAAACCCACAGCCCAAGAAAAGCGTCTCCTCGGATTGGTGTGGATCCTCCGACACAAGCGGTAGCCCCCCCAGCACCATAGGAAGCCCACCAGGGAGCTCAGCGTTTAGCCCTCCCAAGTCCGCCTTTAGTCCCCTCAACCCCACCTCAGCTTTCAGCCCACCTTCCAATAACAGCAGCAGCAGCGATCCCGACAGCCCGACGCACCGTAGCAAGTTCCCATCTATGGGGATCGGACAGATCTTAAAAAAGAAGGTTCAGCTGCAGCCGTTCAGCTTCCGACCAGAACAGGTTGTGGAGGAGGTGGTGTCCCCGCCTCCCTACCCCATGCAGACTCTCCTCTGTGCTTCAGGTGCACTCAAGACCCTCTGCTGAGGGATACAGGACACAAGAAAATAGAAAAAGAAAGACTCAAGGCCCCTTCCAACCATGTTGGAGAGGTCTTCCAGAGCGGCCTTTTGAACTGTGAACTGTCCCTTTATTGTAACTGAGCCACTTTTCATGATGGACTTTAGCATTCAAAACAAATAAAAAGAATAACAAAAGGGGTAAAGAATTGAATTTCTTGTGTTACCGCTCTGATTGTGTAAGAGGTGGTGACATTAAGACGACGAGAGTTTGAAACAGACCCCTGAGGTATTACATATCCTCACTGTGTCCTAGATGCAGAGTGGACATGGGACATCATGTAATATGGGCCTTGCCGACAATGTGTAAAAACTCACACACACACACACACCCACACAAAACACTGTATTATAAACTCTTACGTAACATTGCTGTAACTGGTTACTAATTGAGCCGCAGACTGATTCACACCAGCTAACAGACCCCAACCCTGACCCTGACTACATGTCTAAATGTTTTGTGTATGTAGAAAACTCTAAAGAAAGTCATTGACTTCCAGCCAGCTGGCACTGTATCCTCAACGCTGACTGGAATGACGAAGCGCACTGCACTATTCTAAAAAAAAGAAAACCAAAACCTATAGGAACAACGGTGTTTACCATCTTTTACCTCACTGCATTATTCATACACTTATGTAGAAAAGCAGTCGACTGCGACATGCTTGTGTGGATTTTGCCACAGTGTAGCGAAGTGTGAGTGTTAGTGCCATTAGACATCAACACAGTGAATTAGAAGTAGTTACCAAGAATAGAGTCATGATCTCACTTTTTATAGTGTTCTCAATAAAACACCACTCAACACTGGAAATAATTCACAGCTATAACTTTTTATACACGAGGGTTACATCACCTTTATGACCTACAGGGAAACTGTAAAAGTCTTACTAAGGGAGGATATGCCGGTTTATAGAGGAAAAAAAAGATAAAGATAAAAAAAAAAAAAAAAAAGCATCGAAAGCCTTATGAAACTGATCGACCTCGCAAGTAGCTGAGGGCAAGAAGGTGCAAAGAAGTGCTACCAGGATTACACCCATGAAGATAATTCACTTCCTATTGTCTTAATGCTGTAGTTTGTGCAATAGTCTTAAATGTTAACTGCAATGACGAGTATTTGCCAAGAGCTCTCTGTGCTTGTAAATAACGGTGTGACTCCTGTTTTACTGTCATGTACGCCGTCCTGTACAAAAGGGATTCTCACATGTTTGTTGAACTGATTTCTTTTTTTTTTTTCTTCGTTTAGTGGCTTCTTAAAAACTATTTGACCGTAGGCACCTACAGGCACACGAGGCTCCTCACTGTTAAGAAAACTGTAGAATCTCTTCCTGGCCAAAACGAAAAGTTGCATGCAATGTCTCACGAGTCGAAATTGTAACTACTGTGAACATTTGAAATGTTCTGTCTTTGTACCTTTTTTCTGGTTGATTATGAGATTGATACAGATTGGGGGGAGGGTCTTTTGTAAGATTTTGTAATGGATGGTTTTGTTTGAGTGTCAAGAGATTTCTATGCTGTACAAAGTATTTTAAATATTTATACTGAATCCATTATGTGTCTGTCTGCTCCTTCAAACGCACCTGTCTGGCTACATTTCTCCCCACGTCATGTGCTTTTGAACACATGCCATGAACTTCAACTTTTTATTCGCCGACGTATTACTGAATTCAATTACATAAATTACCATCATTAAGTAAACAAACCCACAGTAATCCACAGAATTTCACATTCTGGTTAATGTGTGTTAAATTTCAACAGAGCTGCAGGCGTATCATTTATTCCTAGAGCTTTCAGCTTGAGGAAGACTTTATAAAGGACAGCTTCTTTGCGAGGGGAGGGTGTATGCTGCTTTACAGCCTCAATGTGCCACTTGTCTCACATACCACAAACATTTCCCACAAGACACCTGTGGTGGTTAAAAAGAGAAAAACACCCTTGCAACAGCTGAAGGATCCTGAGGCCTGATATACATACACCCACACATATACTATGACCCCCCCCACGCCTCTTCACCAACACACACTCATACTGTAGACACTAATCCACTCAGCTGTGGCCCCCGCGTCCCCATCATAAACCTCTTTGGGTGACACTGGTCTGACGAGACAAAGAAGGGGGATCACCAGAGCTCTGAGACAAACACGCAGGACAACATAAACAGGGCCGCCCGATTAAATCGGCGTGGCTAAGCTGATAAAAGCCGAGGGGCAAGAGTGGCTCTGTAATGCATTAGAGCCGGAGCCTTTTGTTTATCGAAGACATGCGAACAGTTAGTCAAGACTCCCCGGGCGGTCCAAGGAGAAAAACATACTTCGGCTTAAATACAACACTGAGGGAAAGGATGCCGTGCACCACCCCACATGTACAGGTATTTCCAGTACTGTTCAGTGGTTTCTCTGGTGACACCTGGGAAAGGTGTGTGCACAAAATGTTTACGACACAGAGTGGAGATCATTTGCGATGATTACGTTTTGAAAACACGTCAGTGATGTGAGAGATAAAGTTGGGGAACGCCAGATTTGGAAACTGTTTTCCATTGAACAGAAAATGAATAATTATCAAAATCAAATTGCCAAGCCTCTAAAATATATATATTTACTTATTTTAGTTTAATTTGAATCTAAATCGTCCATGTCATGGTTTCAGATAAATACTCTTGACAAGGGAACTTGGCCGCTGGCAAAAAACATGATGGATATTTAAACCATGTTTGCACAGTTTATAGATTAAAATATTAATGTAACAAGAAGCAAATTGACCATCAATAATAAAATAAAATAGAAAAAGTTAGTTTAGCATAAGACTGCTTCTTGAAAGGATCTGAATGTGGAGGAAAAGCAACACATTTGGTATTCTGGAAAAGCATAATGGAATGAAATCCATGCTGACAAGATAAAGACAAAAACATGATTTTCCTAGACAAACAGATTAATTCACATTAAGCTGTGCATAAACAGGACAAGACACAGCGATGCATCTGTGGCAAACACACAGACGCCCCTTAGTCCCAGCAGGGGTTAAAATTTTGGTCGCAATAATCATCATCATTGAGGAATTTTAATATCAAAAACGACTTTGAACAATAAAACCTGTTAACGTTTTATAATTCTCCAGGAATACTTTTGGCGATAATGGATGATGTTCTATGTCTTAACAAGTAGAAATGGGTCTAATATTGAGGTTATTATCATGGTCTTCTATCCTTAACTCCAAACAACACAGCTTGACACAGTCAGTTGAGAGAGGGAATTTATCATTTGTCACACTCTGGAGAAATTAAGGCTTTCCCCCCCTAATAGTGAGAGAATATTAAAACAGCCAATCTCTTTGTGGTAACCAAGAACAGATACCTGAGCGATGGCATTCATAACTGCTCCCCACAAACTCGTCATCACCTGTCCCAGACCACACAAAGCTCATGTTTTGTCATCCGAGTCATTGATAATTTTGAGGTCAAACTGACCACTTAATGACAGTAGGGAGTTATTTCTGTCAATCTGTTCAGGCTTAGATCCTGATGACACTAATCCTGTTTTCAGCACACATCTCATCACATACGCACACACACACTCACACCAGGGTGTCACTGGTAAACGGGGCGAGCCTTTGTGTCTGAGAAAAACAGACGATTAACCTGCTGCTGCTGTAACAGACTTCAGGGACTGCGCAGATACATACACATGTGCAACCTGGTTTAACTACCCAAAAGTCCAGCAGTGCTTTCCTCAGCATCTCACACACACACACAGAGGACGAGAAGGAGATAATTAGACGGACCCCACCGTACACAAAGATGTAAAAGGGGGAGATAAATAAACAGATGTTTCTAATGAAGCAGAAGGCTTTGAGCACTCTGAGGGGATTTTGGTTAGATGTGTCTGCGACTAGCCGGCGATCCAGTTCGACCACAGACACTGATGAAGGTGATTAATGAAACAAGGAGGCTGAGCTAATATAAGAGGTTTTACGCTTTTGCCCTAGAGCTGCTGTTAGTAAAACTATACTGGGCTAAGTTTCACAAATGCTCTTGACACTTGGATCATCTTACACCCACTGATTCCTGAGATTAATTTGGGGAAGTGTGACCTCTTAGATGAAGGGGTTTAAAAAACTGACCCACCGTCTAGTCTGAGTGACACAATGACACAGATGAGAACAGACCGTCTTCATGAGTGTAGGTCAAAAAGAAGATTTTAGTGAAGCATATGTCTACCACACCAAACATGGAAGGAGAAGAAGAAAAAAAAAGGAATGTGACTTTTTGTAACGCACATCTTTTTTCAAATAAACATTTGGCTTACACTTTTCTTTTCATATTTTAACACAGAAATAAAGAGGACTCATCATTTGTACTATGATCTGATAAATATGTCTGGAAATTATTTTCTTCCTCTGAACTTTCAGTTTGTTGATATGGGCGCCTCCTGTGGACAAGCGGTACATTTGATTTCTTAGCTTTTCTTCTTCTGCAAATAAGTTGTGTGTGTTTTTTGGTCAAAAATCTAATCCTGCTTTTTTTTAAGTCCCAGAATCTGACTGTAATATTTAGTGGAAATTGTAAAAAAAAAAATAGTTTCTTCAGTGTACTGTTTAACTGTCTATCCTGACAGCTGCCCCACTGCAGCAGTAACATGAATTAAAAGTGATAATAAAAAAAAAAGATTGGATTTTTCTCCCTAATTGTCTTGTTTGTTTCTGGGGGTTAATAAAGTCGTCAGTATTTATTTCAGTGTGTTTCATAACCACTCCCAAACTCCTCACAAGGGATTTACATAAGTGTACAAGAATAAAAACATATTTGATTAAACCGTGCTGAAATGTGACATGGAGAACAGAGAGTGCTGTGGAGAATCAAGAGTTAAACCAGGAAATGGTCATAAACATAGTCTGAGCTACTGGTGGGGTGTGGTTCCTCTGTCAGGGGTGCCCAAAATGGGAAAGGCAGACTTTCGACAAATAATTTCAATAAAAGTCTTCATATGATGATAGGAAACTGCTAATAATAATTTTCCCCAGAATATTTCAACTGATAATTCACATCCTGGATTGTTAAATCACAGAAATAAAAACACCTTTCTCCTTGTTCACCTCACAAAAGAACCAATACTAGTACATGATTGAGGTGTCTTATACTCCTAACATTTCTCTCCTTTCAAAGTAAGCCTTTTCATTCCATGTTAAAAAAAAAAAGCAACACAAACATATTTTGGAAGTTGGCACACAGGTGGCACTCCTTGAGTTATTTTCTCTCTCAAAAACAAGATCAGAAATTCAATCAAAGAGCAGAGCTCAGCCAATAGCATTTCAGTGTCTGTTGCAACAGCAGCATCAGATCAGGCTGCCATTGGTGCGATGTTTCACACAGCGAAGGCTGTAATTGGCTGATAGTGTGCCGAGGCTTCATTGCCTCCATGGCAACATTGCTTCCTTATTGCTTGGGGAAGGTGAAAAAGGAGGGGAAGAGGGGAGGCGACTTTCACTCAGACACTACCTCTGCATTATTCATCCTTTGTCCCCGAGTGCTTGTAGAGAGTGTGTGTGTGTGTGTAGATGTACTGAGAGATGTGAATGTGTGTTTGTGTTCCTGTGTTGGTCTTGGTGATTGGTTGAGACTTACGGGATGAACGGGGTGAAACCGGTGCAATAATTGCACTCAGCGGTGCAATGCATCAAGCAACACCAAGTCTATATATAAAACAGCCAAATGTGTTCAGAGGGCATTCCCAAACTCTCACTTCACACACAGATATCAGCCTTTGAGTCTTTAAACTCCTAATGGAAAAGAGAACAAAAGAAAACAAACAAACAAACAAACAGGGACTAAATCTCCAAAATGAGGCTGTGACAAGGTGCAACAACAGCGCACATCTGGACAGGGGACTAGCCAGCCTGCTTGCATCATCTTCTCTCTGTGCTGGATCTATGCACGCATCCCATCCTTAAGCCAGGATCGGCTGAAGAAAAACATCACCACCCACAAACAACGACAACACCAGAAAAAAAACATAAACCATGCGGCTTGTTTGTTGTTGTTTTGAATTTTTTTTTTTTCCTTCACGGCAGCAGAGGGAGGGGGTAGGGAGAAAAAGAGGGGCAAGGGTGGGGTTAGCAGAGAGAAAAACATCACACAGAGATTAGGGTGGGGGGTTCATTCAGGGCTCCTCCCCTGTGTGTGTGTGTGTGTGTGTGTGTGTGTCTGAGCATGAGCGGGGGGGGGGATAACGTCTGTTGACAGGCGTGCCGGCCAGCGAGCTGGATGGCTGTTCCTCTGGCGGTGAACACGATGACGAGATGGCAACAGGCACTCAGCATAGCACGTGCTCTCAGTTGCCATCGCAACCTGCCCTTGGATACAGCGTGCTGGTTGGCCGTTTCTAACTGTTGTTGTTCTGTGTGCGGCTGATGAAACCTCGTGGATGAGGGAGGGCAAGCGGTACAGCATGGAGCGGATTTCCCGCCTTGGTAGAAAGTGTTGCTAGGCACATTAGAGGTCAGTTGGTAAATAAACACTTAATATATAAGCACCCCCTCCCCAAAGCAGCAAAG